CACACACACACACACACACGCTCGCACGCACGCACGCACACAAACACAAACACACACACAAACATGCACACACACGCACGCTTACAGTCACATGCATAATATAAATGAACAGTAATATAAACAATAATAACCTTAAGCTAGACACATACTACTCAGTATTCTGACTGTAACTAAATGTTACTCTGATGCATGCTCTGAGGTCATATGAATACTAGTAACGTAAAGATGGAAACATTTTGATGGATGATGGTAAAAATCTACCAATCAATGCAATGCAATTATAACATAAAAAGAATTTGCTCGCGGGGAGAGGAATGCGCAAGAAGCAACTAGCCGCATGACCCATCTCGATCCTCCTGGTTTTGTATAAACGTCTGTCTGTCTGCCAGCCTGCCTCCCCCTCCTCACCCCTTTTCCCTTTTCTGCACACTTCCTTCTCGTTTCTAGTTTTTAATATTTTTCTTTGTTCTTGCTTTTTGTTTTTGAATAAGACTTTTAGGGCACTTGCAAAACACAATAAGGTCATATAAGTGCCGAAGATTAGAGATGTTACAAGAGAGTAACAAACGCAAAAAAAGAAGGAAGAGAAATCAGGACGATAGATGTTTGAAACGAAGAAAGAGCAAACCACACCAGAGTACTCATCAACCACCCACTCTTGTTCTTGTTCTTTTTTTTTCACACACACACTAATTCACACACACACACACACACACACACACACACACACACACACACACACACACACACACACACACACACACACGCGCACACACACATGCATACACACACACACACACACACACATACACACACATACACACACATACACACACACACCAAAGTGCCTATCTGGCTGTTTCTCTGATTATGCTCTGAATGGCTGACACGGTAAAGGATGAAGAGGTCGGCTTGAAAAGCCACTGAGAGTGTGAGGAACAGCAGTAAGTGTTGAACCCAATCGACTTTACTACGATTCACGTTTTTTTTTTTCGCTATTCACAGCTATTCGAAGCGTGGTCGAGAAATTCGAATGCCGTGCGATTTTCACGGAAAATGGATTTTGATCTTATGCAAAGAGGTAATATATATATTAAAAAATAAA